ATATGTATGTATGTATATATTCAAAGAAAATAAATATAAAAGTATAAAATCTTGATTTAATTTCTCTTATTCGTCGCCGTTGCAATTTTCAGAGCGCAAGGACTCGAGAAAAATGGTAGCATGGAAAATGGACGCTACAGTGCATCGCGAATAAATGGCGTCTGGTACTCGACGACGTGAATAAATCAATTGTACTATATGCCGGCGAAATTCGTAATTTGAAAATAATTGATAGCGGTCGACAGTGACGTGGCCGAGCTCTCTTTGTTTTCCTCTTGCGCCATTATTTCCATCAATCCAGTTTCGCGCCGCAACAATAGCGTTACTACTGCCGCGTAAAATGGCGTATGGACGCAGCGGAAAGCAAATAATTAGAAGAAAATTGCACATGCTTACGGGGGCATAATAGTTTTCAACTAATTTGCGTCTTATTTATACATACACATATATGTATTTTGTTTTTTAATTAATTCATAGATTAATTCATAGATGTTCGAACAAAAAGATCTTGCGGCTTAAAATATAATTGCAAAGCTATATAATTAAGAATTACATAATATTTTGTAAGCTTTTTAAAACTGTTTTTTTTAATTCTCGCTCATGATTAGATAATTATTTTATTAAGTTATTAGATGAATTACTCGAAGAAAAGAAACATAGAAACTCTAGAAACCAACTATAGGAGCTGTCTCTTTACTTCAGATTTCTTAAAGCTCTCATATTCTCGATAACAACATTGAATTACAGCGTGTCACAATCATCGTCTCTTGTTACCATCGAGGCAAAGTTTGGAAGGCATCGCGTGTCACCGTCGCGGGTTTCAGTATCACCAAGAAGAAATCAAGTCGTTTTTAAGATATTTCAAGTCGTTTTCAAGATATTTTAAACTATTAAGATGACAAAGTACTTTTTCAAAATACAAAAGATAATTTGATAAATAATCTTAATAAAAATTTGATTAAAAACTTTTATATTTCTATATAAATAGCATCCGATTACTTGATTAGGATAAGAACGTGGAAATATATATATATGTGTATATCTAGTCAGCGCAAATCAACAAGTATTTTGTATCAACACCGAGCACTGAGCAAATCGACAAACGAGTTGTAGCAGTTCACACGCGAATACAAATTTAAGTCGTTACGGTCGTGCGACGCTCGCGGAACGATAAACTCGCTTCGACCATGAGCGATCCTTTTACGTAAAGACATAAGAGACGAAACGAATCGATTTGAGTTGCGACCTTGCGGTAAGGATTTCACACCGGCGGTGCTATCGAGTAAAATAGTCCCGTATATAGTCAAATAGAATTATCTTTCTTTTTATATTTTAGAATTTAACAAATTTGAAATATTTTATACGCAACACAAAATCGTTATCCATATATCAATATTAATGAAAGAATGCAAATAAAACAGTGTGTTTTAAAAATTCAATATGTAAACTTTCTAAACGTCCAATAAGTTAGACTTTTGTTTTACAAAATAATCCAGTTACCATTATCTAGTACTAATTTAATCCGTCCTAAAAGCCGGTGACAAAATATTCGGCAACATAATGTAAACATATATAGACTCTCTCGACGATGCGAATAAAAACATAAAAAGCTTCACATGAGCGCGAACGGCAGACGATGCCATTTTAACCAAATTGATTCGTGCAAAGTATTAAAATGCGGAAACAGACGTCGCCCGTTCATTTTAGTCCGATATACATATGTACACGCGCGAATGCGGCTTGCGTGCCCATGCGTGTAGAAAGAACAGGATGAGAGAGAGTGTAAAGAGAGTCAAAGGTAGTGGAGCTGGAAATTTTGACTATACAGATGCCAGGTAATCGGAAAATGCGCATTACGCACTCCGTGCATCGTGCCGTAGAAATAAGCCGCAGCGCTAAAATGAAGCGCAAAACCTCAAATTTCTTTTAGTTGTCCATGAACATTATTCAGTTAAAGAAAAACTTTCTCAGACTTACGTTAACATTAGATTTTTTTACATCCCGTAATCTTTATCTATTTTCTCTTATTTTTTATTACGCCTTTTACGCCTTCATATTTGTGAAAAATTTTGAGTTTTTTTTTCTAAAACTAATATCTCAGGCAAATATACTTACTATGATATGTTTCAAAACAAATGTCATGTTAATTTCTGCGAACTATCACAAGCCAATTTTTATTCCAAATGTGATTTCGATTATCTACAAAAGCTCTCGTTACAATAGGTAGATGAAACAAACTCGAAGATTAAGCGAATGTTGCCACCCATGTCTTTCAAACGACATCCCGAGTTTTCCTCTTCTCTACTTCTCTCGCTCCCATTCTTGGCTACGCTTTTCTCTACGCGATCTATCCCTCTTCGTCTCCTTCTTCTCATTCTCTTGTTCTCTCGCACACGCGCACTCAATGGCCATAAACTACTGGTACCCGACGTACGCTGAGGTTATTGGTTTTTGCAAAGAGCTTGACAGTGCCGTATATATGTCGCCGTACATGTAACTCCTCCGTCTCTCGGACGGATTTTATTTCTCAAAAATAATCTCTGAATTTTTTCTCGAGATACATGAGAATTTTTTTAACGCACTTTCTTCCATCGAAATAAGCAACGGTATAATTTGCAAATGATAAACGACACACACAGAAGAGATAGAGTAAAATTTACCGAGGATCTTTTGCTATATACAAACAATATTATTGCGCGTTGCTTTTCTGAATGAGCGTTTTTTCGCGGCACAACACGCGAAAAGTTTTATACTCTCGTCGTGTCATATTCTATAAAGCATCCTCGATAGTAAAATTATCATAGTTTTGATTAGAATTTATGTGCTATTTTTAAAAAGTCAAAAGTTCTGCATAGTTATTTTTCTTTTTTTTTTTTTTTTTGAAGCTTTACTCGATGTTTGAAGATGTTACGAAGAATTTTCCAAGTCTCGGAGGATGAAAATTTTTTGAGAGCTCCGAGTAAGTTCTCTGATTGAAGTTATCGTTTTATTTTGAAAAATTTACTTATCGAAAGTATTTGAACAAGTGTGTTATAAACAATTTTCTCACCTCTGAAATTTTTTTTTATCGTGTTACTAATTTCTTTTAATTTCTTCTCATTCTACTTCCCGTATGTGTAATTAAGTACGTTCATTATTTATATTTCGAGAGAATAGGCGGTTGAGGTGTCGCGCGTTTACGTTCAATTTTGTTTCTTCTCTCATGTATAACAAATCAAAGTAATAATATACAATCTAACAATAAGACAAAATACAGTACACATATACATACATAAGTACAACTACACTATCTACAACTATTTACCGTTTTACGCGCGTGTATGGGCATATGACTTCCGGTGAAAAATGGGAGGCTTGTCGCCTTGCCTGCTTTTTGCTCGAATTAGTTCTATTGTAATTCTTTTCTCTCTCTCTCTCTCTCTCTTTCTCTCTCTCTCTTTCTCTCTCTCTTTCTCTTTCACTTTTTTCCCTCCTTTTTTTTATTTTTTTATTTTTCTTATTCTCACTTTCTTTTTTGAAAAGCCCAATCTTGCGTGTGGCGTTCACGCGTTGCTTCTCTATCACTCTCACGTGGCTTACGACATGCGTCAATGCCAGTTGGACTAATACGATTCTCGATCTGCGCACGAGCCAATCACACAACCGCCCGTTGGCTCTCCCTTCAGCAGCTTCAACATGTTTTATCGCTCCTTCAACGATCAGTCCCGGGCCTGTGATCGCCCTATCCGTCTTTCAACGAAAGATCGACGTGATTTGCTCCGATCTACGAATGTCCTCCGATTGATCTACGCATCAGAGTATCGAGATATTTAAAGCCGTCACGCACACACTCGTGTTCGCTTCGTGCGATTCGCTTGTTGGCGAGAGACAGAAAAGTTTAGCTCTCCGTCGGGCACGATGTTGAACATGGACCAATCGCGGCTCGTTGCTTCGCCCACAAACGGACACCTCCTCCCCGACCCCGTTTCACTCTCGACCGTAGAGTCTTCTCTCCATTCACTTTCGCTTATAAGGACAGCCTCCTTTTACACGAACGCACGATGAGAGCAAAGAATATACTCCACTTTTGATTAAACGCTCTATTACAAAATCGAATCTCGGAGACGTTGAGATATTCATTTAAATCGTCAGATTTTCGGTCCTTTTAATTTTTACAACGGTTTTTTTTTTGTATTATTTCCTCGGAACTTTGCAATGCTTCGAGAATTCCGAAAAACTTCAAATACATATATATATATTAATTTAGACAAAACTAAATCCTTAAGAATATTTTTATATAATTGTTGATAAAATTTGGAGTGTACAGATTCTTATTGTATCATTTGTTAAATCTTCAAAATTTTATACTCTTTTTATTACGCGTACATTTTTTTCGAAATAGTTTTTTTTTTAGATCGCACGTTAAAAATTCTAAGCTGTTACATAATCAATAATTCATTTTTAAACTTACAAATTTGTTGATTTTCGCGTTTGTTTCATAAATTATTTGCACCTTCTAATGTATGCGTGTATATCCGAATCTCCGAGCTTCTTTGGAAGTTCGAATTGAAAGTGCTGTAATCTTCAAGTTGGCATATCGACTTTCCGAATCCTTACGTCTTCCAATCTATAGATATAAAACTTTCTGTCTTTAATACTAAAACATTAAAATCACTCGTAATTACGTACGCCCAAGTTAATAAACTCCACTTACTTTTCACACCTATTTATATGTAAATCTGTGTATATTTATTCGTTTTTCGCACAAAATTACACGCCCGGGTTTTTCACTGCGATCTTAGCGATTTTCACGAGTTCAACTTTTCGGAGGGAACAAAAGCGCGATGTTTTCGAGAGCGATAATTTGTCAAATTGAGTTACGCACGTCGATCGACTGTTGAGCGAGTTTCTCGGTCGCAGGAAGCGCGACGTACACGGTGTACACCGAATTTCAGACGACGGGGAGAACGCGACGTAACGCAGCACAATAGTTTTAAACTTCACGAAGCGGATTCGCGAGGATTCGCGTTCGAAATTTGAATGCCGTCAGAATCGGAGCGTTCGACGCAAGATAGGACGAGGGACGCTTCGCGAGGAGCGACCATATCGCTTTTATCGCGAGTCACATACAGGATATGACAGCAAAACTCCTTAACCTCACTCCGCGACGGCATCAAACGTACTGAAGTGCGACACAGTTCGTTCGTCCGCCGCCGCGGCCGACTCGCCGTAGGTGGCGATGGCGAACGACAACGACGACGATGGGAGAGAAGCGTGCCGCACGATGACGTCATATAATCGAGAGAGAGGAACGGTCGAGAGCGTGTGTAGTCGTTCGATAGCGGCGCGCCCCGCGGAGACTCGCGAGACGCATTCTACTTTATCGACGCGCGCGATGAAAATGAATATCTCGCTCAGCGAGATGAATATGATATATCGAGGGAGCTTTTGTATTATCGCGCGTATCATTTTATTTTTCCGAACCGAGCAGGGCCCGTTTCAACCGGACGCAGGTGACATCAATTTCTTTTAAATACTTTCATAATAATAATGCACGTATACGGGCAAATCCATCGTAGTTTTAACTTTTGATGGACTGTTTTATACTGCTGAATCTGAGTTGTTTTTTATATGCACAAGACGTATTTTTTCTTCGTATACTATCTAGTAATAACTATATATAAGAATGCAGAGCGGTCGTGTCATTGCTGGCGTTCAAAAGTACATTAAATCGGCAGAAAATATAGAAAATCCACATTTATTTTGTCTCTTTCGAATTTGTGTTTCATTCTTAATAACTTTGTACCCGCGCCGTGTTATATAACGCTTTTGTATTAAATGGAAAAGTTAGTTCTTTTGCATTCATACATCTTTTACCTGGAGGTCGATCATGTGCCATGTAATCGTACAAAATGGTGGCCGCTGAAAAACTTATCCCTCCATTCTTGCAAAATATTAATTTTCGTAGAGTTAACAATATTATATACGAGTCGTTAAGTTAATTGACTAACTGAGGTACTGAAGTTGTAGCAAACACAAAATGCAAAAATTTAAGACTTTTTTGTTGAAAATTATGCCTCAAAAATGAAACACACACCAGTGTATCAAAGATTGCCTTCAAAAGCGTAAATTCATTGAAAAATCCACAAATCACCTTGGCACATATTTCGAGAAAACTTTTTTCAGTCTATATCAACTGTAAACAATTTCTTGTATCCCATAACTTACCACGGAATCTATGTGGCAACAATTTTCAAACCCAATTTTATTACGACGTTAAGAGTGCATAATTTAAACATAATTGCAACGTAAAACTGGAAAGAAATTAAGTCGATTTCAATCAGGTAAATTTTGCGTCATTTACTTAAAACTATTAACGCGTGTAGATTGGTTTTTGAACCTATTTCAGACATATTAGTCAATATAAGATGTATGTGCACATTTGAAAAAAAAATAAATTTTCTTAAAAAACTACGGTGGATTTGCCCATATACATATATTACGCGTGCGACTTGTTATTGATCGTATAACATGTATATCTTTCTTCTTTCATAATATATATATATATATATATATATACATATATACATTTTTTACTTATTTTATAGATAATTAAAAACGCGTTTATTACATAATTTAACATAAAAAGATATTAATAAGGCACGTCTGATTTGCAATTAGAGAATGTGTAAAAATTTAATCTGACGAAACTAAAAACTTCTATAGAGAATCGCTTTCTCTTGTTACTTTTTATATTAATATATTGTTGTTTTAAAATATAGTTTGTGATTTCTGTGTTTCAATAAGCAGCGAAATTGTAAAAGCAAGAGAAGGACAAAACTATTTTTTTAATATAAGGACAAAACGTATTTTTTTAAATATATGTTTTAAATATATATTTTCTTCTCTCATTGAAAGAAGTACGAGTTAAAACAGTCTACGTACTATTTGTATATATACATACGACTTTACAGAGAACTCGGTCAATTGGACGAAATACATAATTACTCCAGATACTTAGATCTCATTATTTGATACATTTCTAGCAATATTACACGATATAATGGTGCTAGTCGATGTAGTTACAATGTAATTGTAACGCTCACCGTTTCGTACGTCTACTACTTATATATATTAATTACATCTCTCCGCTGCAGCAGAGTGTGTCAATTTTAGTTTATTTGATTAACAAAAACGGAAAAAATGTACTTGCGTATATATTTGTGTGCTTGAAAAATTATTAAACACTGAAAGTACACACACGCGCAAAAACATATTTGTATAAGGTTAAAAACAGTATACTATACATACACTACAGAAACAAATTAAACATTAACGGAAATTAAATCGAATTTGTATATGACGCTTATTGAAATTAAAACTTATTATTTGAAATCATGCAGTTAATTGTTAACATTTCATTTGAAATACAATAAACACGTGTATTACTTAATGTAATCGTAACTTAAAATAAAATATTTACATTAACAAAATCTATACTTTTATCTTATTAACTTCTTAAATACTAAATAGATCTTCATTTTTTATTTGTCTTGTGTAAAGTCCATTTTTGTACTTTTTTGAAAAACAATATTTCTAATTGATTTGTTTAAAGGCATAAGAATTTTGTGATATCCAATATACAAGAGCTTAGCGAGATGTTCTTCGTGCTCGTTTCACTACCGCGTAATTTTTCCGCTTGTCGAATCATAATTTAATTTGGCATTCTTGCGCCGTATGGTCTTCAAGCTTCGAGATTTATCGGAGTTGAACGACGATGCATTAGCGATGGAAGAGGGCGGAAAACGAGATGAGGATAACGAAACGAAGGTAGAAAATCGAGAGAAGAAGTCGCGCAGCGACTAACCGTTCGTTTTTAAATCCTCTCTTCTTCTTCCTTCGGCCTTCTCCCTCAAGACGTGTAACGAATCAATCGAGATCTGATTGAATCCGAATTCAGATAAGTAGAGCGTCGACTAAAGAAGCCAGACATGAACGAATAACAAAGATTCAAAGACCGACCTGTCAATCAACTTTTTCTTTTTTTTTCTGAACTTTTTTTCGTTAAAATAAAGTCAATTGAAATTAATTTGAAAGCAACGAAGAGAACAGTTACATGCTTCAAATGTATAACAACGACACTAAAATATGTTCGCGTTATCAGTTCATCGTTCAAAACAAATGTCTTTGTTCGATAGCTTCGTTTAGAAATGAGAACTGAAACAAATCGCTCTCGCAAAAGAAGCAAATTATTCTATTGATCGTTCAAAGTCTTAAATGTGTCATTTTACTTTTCACTGCTTCATTTTTAGAACATCTGTGAGACGTACGACAATCCTGGATACATATTCCTGAAGAAGATGCTGTCGCGCCTTGCCAACATCCATTACTTCCTCGTGAGTTGCCTCGCCATGATCCTCGTAATCAATGACGCACGAGTTGGTGATTAGACTGAACGCGAACACAGTAAGATCGCAATGGCGGGCAGTGATTACCTCGTGAACAGTAGACATGCCTAAAAGTAATAACTTGTTTTTAACACACAAATACAGATAAATATAAAAATCTAATACCTACAATATAAGTATAATTTTTATAAAACAGGAAATGTGTAATGGCCATTTGAAGCAAAAACACTGGTAATAACGTGTGTATGATAGATGCATTAGTTTATTCAAGCAGGTAACATATAGAACGTTTTCGGCCTTAGATTAGGCCTTTATCAATATATATATAAATATGATGTTCTTGAATTAAAACTTATACAAGTCACATGATTACAATATAGAAATATTAAAGTAACTGAAGTAATGCATCTATCATACACACGTTATCACCAGTGTTTTTGCTTCAAATGGCCATTATACATTTCCTGTTTTATAAGAATTTATTGAAGCTTACTACACTCCTATTCTAAGTATAATTTGTCAAACAAACATGTTAATGTATGCTAATTGCTTATCTATCTATCTAAATCAACAAAATGTGATTATTATTCAAATGTAGATAATGCGACGCCAGAGTACTGTAAGTGTCTCTATCTTACTTTGTGTTAATATATTCGTTGATATTTACAACATTTTCGCATATCATATTTACAACAACGAGCAGTACTTCATGTCAATTTCGTGTGTTTTCTTTATTAAAAGATATACTCGGAAACGCATTACAATTATTTTGGTTGTAAAAGCAATATTCTTTTGTTGTTCGCAAATCTTATAAAAAAAAATGTATTAACACACTCTCGTAGAATTTAAAATACTTGATAAAAATGAGCGAAAGACACGTACCGACTGCATCGACGCCGATCATTCTCAGCATTTTAAGTTCCGCTACTGTTTCGAAATTTGGGCCACCCAAACACGTGTAAACACCGTTATGCACGATATCGGCGATACCCATTTCTTCAGCGACTTGTCGACCGATTTCTATCAGTGTGGAATTGTAGGCTTTATTCATAGGCGGAAATCGAGGACCAAATCTGAAAAAAAGGAGAATCACGTATATTGAAGATATGTATTGTATATTACAATAACTGTTACATTATAGTGAATCCGCTCCGATAAATTTTACGAAATTCGTTAGATTTTAAAAAATGCACGAAGAGCTCGCAAAGAAGAGAAGAAGACAAAAGGAACGGTGAGATTCGCGTAGAAAGAATAGAATTAATTTATTTCGTTGGCATGTATAATCCTCCGGAATCAAATTGATGAACTGTTTGCGCGACGATACAAAGAAGCTGATTGATATTTGCTCAGCAAAGTTTTTCCGCGCGTTCTCTGTCTCGCTTCTTTTCCTTTTCTCCTCGTGTATCTTCTCATCATCTTTTCCCGTACTCTTTTATCGCGCTTTTTTCTCTGAAGTTTCTTATAACTTCTTAAACAGCTCGTTTCACCGCTAGTTGTATCTGTTATTGTTTCAAGCCGTATCAATTCAATTTTTTTAGTCAGCTGTGAAAACATTTTTACCTCTTTTCTTGAGATTTAATTAAAAATTTCTACATTTAATTTTTTTATACACACATACATTTTGATAAGCAGAAAAAGAGAGAGAGAGAGAGAGAGAGAGAGAGAGAGAGAGAGAGAGAGAGAGGGAGAAACGTATTTAGTTCTGCATAAATCCTACCTGTCATCATTCGGTCCTTGAAGCGGGTTGTTGCCGGCAAAACCCATCATGTTCACGTGGTCTTTCACTATCATGATATCGCCAACTTTGTAAGTAGGATTTAGACCGCCGGCTGCGTTTGTCGCGATTAGGTGTGTCACCCCCACTAGCTTCATCACCCTCACTGGCATCGCGCACTAGAAATTCTCGTTATCGTATCTCTTGATTGGCGTAATGCGACATTTTACGTGCATTGTACTATGTACATGTAATAATAATCAGCAAAATTAGTCGTACCATCCAGAGCGGATAACCCTCGTAATAATGAAATCTGCCTTGCATGCACATAACTGGCACACCCTGAAGATACCCGAAGACCATTTGACCGGTGTGACCCTTCACTGTGGACATCGGGAAGTGCGGAATTTCTTCATAAGGAAAGCATTGCTTGTCCACGAGGAATTCAGCGAGCGAACCTGGACACAACTCGTTTTGCTCATATGATCCTGTTCAGGAATAAACAAAGCTGTGATAGCACGAACATACCGGATATTCACCGAATCGCAATTATTGCGCAATATATTCTTTTATACAATCCCGAAAATCTTGTATTGCGTGAAAAATTTAGACGTTGAGGTAAAAAAACTCTTTAGAAAAATTATGTACGTTTTTACAAAATAATAATAAAGAAAAAAATATCTACAAGTAGAAATAGAAATAACATTTGTTAGATGTTGCTGTAATTCATATGTTTTTTTTCGACGTTTTTGCTTTGTCAATTTATACCGCCTCGTCATTTCGGAGAAAGAATTGCTCCAATTACTTTATCTCCGTATAAACCTTAATAAGCAGCTTTCTAGGAAATAGCTTTTATAATTAGCTACTTTGTTTTATTGCGCTTGTATTATATCTACTGTCGACATTTCATTATTGTGATTAAATAACAAAAAGACTGCACAAAGATAACAATAAACACAAGAACAAAACATCACAGCTGTATTTAAAGCTAAACATGATATTTACATTAATTGTGTTGATTTATAATTTCATATTAGACATTTTGTTCAAACAATTATACTTAAAAAATGCATAAATATATGTAACTACTAACCCATTCCTGAGCCACATATAATTCCTATTTTTGGTTTGATTTTTATGCGATCCAACAAGTATCGTGCCGATTCCTGCAATGTTTCGAACGTGTACCTAAATAATATAAGTAAACATATAAGTATTTTACATTTATAGTACTGTAGAGAAAAATTGATTATTGTAATAAAAAATGAAAATGTATTTTACGTATTCTGTTTCGAATATTCATACGACGGCTGAAAAGTTCTTACAGATTGACTTTGTACGTTGTTTGTATGACCGTCCTGACGACAAATATTTTCTTGACTTTCCCCATGCCGTGTTGATTAGGTACCGATCGGTTAAATTCGAATATATTGTGTACAGCGTTCGAGTAAAAACATTTTTCAAAAAACTGAGGATCAAACGCTCGAGGAAATCGATAAAAGACATTACCGGCGACTGTCAACGCGGATCGAAGCGATAGATCGTGTTTGTGGAGAATAACTTCTCCACAATTTTCTCCATTGTAAACGCATAATTATACTCATTTTAACAAGTAACAGTGAATATTTTAATTTTAAAAAAGAATAACGACAACCTTCTCACACAATTCCTACAGTACAAATAAAAATGTTATTATTAAGAAATAAGTATAATCAATTTCACAACCTAATTAAGAAATAAGTATAATCAATTTCACAACCTAATTAAATAATATACAAATGCTTATAAGAGCTTCGATGAAATACTTTAAATAAGATTTACGCATAATTATAATAATTATAATAATTACGTAATTTATAGACTTTTTCCCATTTTTGACAGTTTTAAACTGTAGTGCGTGATATTGTTCAGTTTATATAAATATGCATTGTCTGATTATGATGTGGTTTCCTCTCGGTACCAATATTATACAGATGCATTAACATACATACTCAATAGATTGATACTGATTAAACAAACGTCATACTCGTTGCTTAATCTCACACGATCATCACACATAGCTATGTTATACAGCCCATCATAACTATTACACGTAATAGTGTATTTACATTTTACAATAGTAACATAATAGAAAGACGATTGTTCAATAATGAGTTTTATAAGACTCGTAAAGAGAAATCTATCTTGTTGTAATGTTAATTTTTTTAAGCTAGAACTTTTTGAATTTATTTTACAAAAGAGAAAAAAAAAGAGAGAAACATGTTTTTTCTCTGATATCTTAAATTATCTGCGTTTTTTAATTTTATCAAAGAAATGCCACATATATTTTAAATATAAACTCCTCCGAGTATCAAGTTTATAGTTAAAGATTCGCGAGTAAATTTGAATTACTGCATTGAATTTGGGCTGTTATGTGTGCACTTTGTTCACCTCAATGCACGAAAATTTTGCGCGTGCGTTTGCACACATGTGTATATGCGTATATACGATAGATGAGCTGTACGTGGATTCAGCATACAGGGTGTAATCAAAATATGTGTAACAGAGAAGAAGTCCATTAAAATGAATTCATCGCAAATGCATTTTTAAAATAGATTTCCACATCAAACGCTCTATTCCAATGTCAAAGAAATAAAATTGAAAGTCAGCGAATCACCTCTGTATTTAACCTTGCATTATACGATATAAGAAATATATACTGTATTTTTTATTTTTGCTATTTTTTATTTTTTGTATCTACTTGTGTACAGCACATCAGTCACACTTAGCGCGAACAATAGCTGAAACTAATATGTCGCACGTGATTAATCTGAAAACAAATATGACAAATAAAGAGCAACTAATGACTTTTACTAGTGACTATATATATATATGCATTTCACTTTTTCTCTGCTTGACATTGAAGATTGGCATTGAAAATTTTTTTGGATGATTAAACATACATTAATTGCATTGACAAAGTGATGTGTGTGTGTGTGCGCGCGCGTAATATCTTAAATAGACATATGATCTTATTTGGTTTTTATATTTTTTAACTTAACATGGTTTTAATTTATAGAATTTTTTTATGTTTTTTCTGAAATTTTCTTTTCGCATGTGTACACAAGAGAGAGAGAGAGAGAGAGAGAGAGAAGAATTTAGCAACTTTAGTTTCTAGCAACTTTCTTCCGAACACCATGTATATCTGAAAACGCGTTTTGCATTCATGTATGTATCTCGATGCATGATTTGTAATACCTCTGAAGACTGTGTTATGCATTTAGCTTAAATCCGCTACTATTTGAGCTTGCTCTGGTAGGTTAACAGGTAACCGTACCGTTTTGTACCAATTTTAGATCAAAATTATGTTAAATTACAAATGGGCACGTATGAGCCCGCGCGAAATACTTCTCTTAATTCAATTTGCATTATATTTGTAAAATTAACGTCACCAAAATCGCAATATTAATTATCAATAGATATATTGGCAACAAATATTATTTAGACACGAATTTTGCCTCGTTAATTACATCTCTGCGCAACTTCTTATAATTAAACTGTTCTGTTTTTATTTTTAGACATTTAAGCTCACACACACAGAAAAATCATTCAAAATAATATAAAGTTAAAAAAAAACTTTAAATCGAACACTTACGTGTGTTGCGCATTCTTCGCGTTAAACTCGTTATTGGTGGATCGTTTGATAGCTGGAAAGCTATCGTGACCATTGGTGGTATCTGGAAACGGCATTTTCACACGTCGATTTACGATGAGCTTGACAAGTGTCACTGATCAGTGTCAACAATGATCAATAAAAAAAAATAGAAACTGATATCAAGTGATCGATCGAACGATCCGTACATTTATCGAACGCTTAAATGATGTAAATGGTTGGCGCTTGACTTTTGTGCGTCTTTTATAAAGAGCATCGAAAAAACGCTAGCGCAATGAGCCGACCAATGATCTTGGACGCAAGTAAGCACATCGACCAATCGGCAACCGTACTGGAGCGTAAAGAGCACGACAAGGATTGTAGCAAACGCAAAGCACTGGACAAAGAAGGAGAGAAGGTCGCGCGTGATGATAACCCGTTACACAGCAAGTGGTCCAATTATTGTTATTTGTTCCGACAGCGACGTTGACGTCGACGAAGCGCGAAATCTAGTGCGACGTGCAGGACAGAATAATATTCCTGTCAGTGCGAGCACATGATTAGGTTTATCTTGATGAATATCCGCAAACGCACTCAGTAACGTCACGCACACTACGGAAGTAAAAATCGTTCAAAAAATAAAGAAAAATAAAATCGGAATTCTACATTGTTCTTTCACTTCTCTTTTGACATCTGTAACAAAATGTATAAATTGTTTTTCTTTTGATTGATTCTCTTTGATAGATTTAAATTGATTCTCTAATTGTTAAATTGTTTTTCTTACATCAGTATATTATACTGTACTGATGGATACATTTATGACGTTAAGAAATTAACTTTCATTGCTATAGGCAGCTTGAGTTTGTTCACAAACATGTTAGTAGACGCTCAATCAATATCGCTCAAATGGTGCTAGAGGCGCCTTCAAACCTTCGGTATTTATTATCAATATTCATATACTTTTATACTAATGCAATGTATAATTCAGTGTTTCGATCATTTTTATACTTTCTGCAGAACTCTTATATTTTGCGCGCCAGCAAAAAGTTTTGCTATCTGTTACGCACGCTTTGCATTAGACAGTATATAAGAGTTAACGATGATTTTCTATTAATTCGTAAAATATCATTGAAAAAAACGCAAAACTTGCCTATAAAAATTTATTCTTGATGAGTGATTTCTTTAATCGACACACATTATAGTGTTATCACTTGTTTCAAATCTAAAGATCTAAGATGTTACATCACACTAAAAAAATATCAGAAACTGTTGTGTGTTGCGTAATTGTATGCCGATTGACGTCTACATATTTTGACTACTGCTATAGTATTTGCACGCACTTGTACATGAATTTATTACTCGATGATAACTTACTAGAGGTCAACGATAAGATGGAACCCCCAACGAATCTGTTGGATCATACTCAGGTCATGATTGACGTTCTTGTGTGTTTGGAACACACAAGAACGTCAATGTTTTTACTATTATATTTGTAATTCTAATATATTTCTATTATCGCGTTTATCGGCTTAAATTTTTTTTTTTTTAGTAGAACAATCATAAATATTTCATCACACAAAATAAATCATAATATAAAGTTTTTGCGAATGTTTACTTCGTGACAAAAAATAAATGTTTTTCTTACTCTTTTTGTTGTGCGCGTATGTTGGATCATCGGCTTGTTTCACTCTCTGTTTGATTTGTAATTGCTCAACATCAGTGAGTTAGTGACCTCTGAACGATAGTTAACGCAAGTCTTTAGTAAGAAAGAAGAATTTCTCTATTGGAAAAATACAGATTACGAAATATCTAATATGTCGAATGTTCCATTTAAAGTGAAACATTCTATCATCTAATGTGTTTCTAGCAATATGTTATCGTGCCAGCAAAAATTTCCAATTCATTTTTATTACCGCGTTAACTCAGTTAAAAAAAATTTTTTTAATGTTATAATTAGATACAAAATTCTTAATTAAATTTAAGATCTGCAAATAATTGTGATAAACAGCGATAAATGCAGCACAAGAGAAAATCAAATGAAAAGAAAATCAAATAAATTAATATAAAACAATATGTTACTTATATGTAATTTATCACTCGCAACGAATAACAATGATATAGTGAATCTTAAATGAAACTTGTACATGAAGCATAAAGCAACAAGTAGAAATATGGCTGCCTATTTACCTCCGGATTAACCAGGCGCTGATATATATAGCCATATATCTATAATAATCTCCCTAGATTAACCTTTACACTTCCTGCATTGTTCGAAGAAAATCTATTGCAATATAGGGTGCTTTGCTCGCGCCAAAAAGACACTCAATACAATCTAAATAAAAATAAATTTAACAGCTCAATATTGCAGTAATAAAAATTAGAAGATCGAAATAAACAAGATTAGGTTAGTTCTTTGTAATTATATATAATTAAAACATTTACGATCAGTTTCTTATTATTTAGACTTCATGAGAAAAAAAAATTTATTTTTAATATATTACATTTATTTTATTCTTGAATGTTTCAACTTTTTATTCTCTCTCTCTCTCCCTCTCTCTATGAGATCAGAGAGAAGTCAGAAGAATGAGAGCGGCCAGGCCCATCAGTGATGAAAGATCGAGCCCGCTGCAACGAGAGTATCGAAGCGGTGGGGGCACGAACAAGCAAGAATCGTCGTCTGTGACGGCGGTTCTCGCTTGTGTGCATGCCCCCACCGCTTCGATTGGCTTCGATACTCTCGTTGCTGCAGGCTCGATCTTTCATCACTGATATGAAGCCCATAAGAGTTTTTACAATTGCTTTTCGTGGACATGGTTCTATTCCGTGCTATGTGCGGTGGACATGGTTCTATTCCGTGCTATGAGATCACCGACGTGGCGGGGATACACACACGAGAGAATCACCGTCCGTGTGCGCTCGTGGAAGAGTTCTTCTTCTTCTTTGCTTATATGGCGCACGCCCCTGCACGTGAGGAGCAAAAGCCAGTCTGAGACAAATTGATTGAAAGCGCGATACTGCTCGTGGAAGAGTGCAGACATATTATGGGAGTTTTTCAGCTACGTAGACAGGCGACACTGTGCAACACAGTGTCTACTAGTGTGAGTGAGACACACTGATATGCTCTTTCTCACACTAATAGACATTGTATTACACACAATGTCGCCTGTGTACGTAGCTGGAAAGTTTCCTATGTGATGTATGACGGCGGTTTTCGTTTGTGTGCGTATCCCCACCACGTCGATGATCTCATAGCACGGAATAGAACCATGTCCACGAAAAGCGATCGTAAAAACTCTTATGTGCCTGGCCGCTCTTATTTTTCTCTTTGATGAGATTTTTATTCTTATTTCTTATTCTAATGAAATATATCAAAAACAGATGTTCAAAATTTACGAGGTCGATTTAAATTTAAAATAAGTTGCGCTAACAGATATGCGACACAGGTAATATAAATCTCTTTTTATTTCCATATAAGAAGATAAAGAAAGTGAAGAAAGGAGAACGTTCTCAAAAATAAATTGCAATGCAATAAAATGAATAATAATGACTTGAAGAAAATTTACTATCTTGATCATATTTTGACCCAAGCAACTTATTTTTATTTCGTTTTCGTAAAGTGAAAAGAATTATGATGAGAAATCTACTTATTATCGTAATTCCGTTCTCAAAAATTATTAATTGCAATTATACATGCCTGTAAAGCCCGTTCTACATTGATCGCAAACGCAAGGAACAGATCTCGTAGAATTGACTAATCGTATTGATCAAATCAGTCAATTGACCAGCGTGATTGGTCAATTCTACGAGATCTACTTCTTGCGTTTGCGCTTGCGATCAATGTAGAACGGGCTTAAAGCGATACACGTGCATATAGCATGGAATAGAACTATCGGCGTGCACGTAGCATATTCGTACCGACAAACTGCTCATGCACATGATTATGTAGTTGCCAGTGTGGCACCACCGCATGGACATAGCGCTATCGGACAGGGACAGAATAGAAAAGCGATAACAGTTAAACTGCGTTTTCAGTCTTTTCTCCATCTGTTTTTGTCATAACAGAATCATTTGTGTAAAAGAAGTACGTATTAACCTCATTTAAACTAAAAAAGTTCGATCAAAGTGCAGCGAAAGTTTTCGCACCTTTGCTGGGTGCGAAAGATTTCAAATATAGAGTTAATAGTGCGATGAAAACGGACTTGATCAACCTTGCATAGACACGTTAAAAAACACTAAACAAATAAATAAAATAAATACATCAGTGTGTTAATAAAAACTGAAACTGGCTATCTTATTTAATTAAAACTTCTTTAGATTTATAAATATATATATATATATGTCAATTAAATAAGTTTATTCAATAAATGTCTGCTTATATATGTACATTTAGGTGGTTCTTGCATAATGCGCAATAAAATGCTTTAATAGATCACATCTTATGTACATATAATTCTCTCTTCATTGCTTTATAAACATTCAATTTTCAAATTCTAAAACCAATCATGTCAACATTAGAAGATAAAGTGGAAGAGCTTTTTCTGGGTACAAAGTTGCAGAATTATTGTAGTTCTAGTGAAGATGAAAATGATTCTGACACAGGAGAGTCTGATAAAGAATACGAAGATACAAATTGTAATCAAAATACTGCACAGTACATTCCATCTTCATATTCCCAGTGGGATGGGACCTCAAGTAACACAGGGCCTAAGGGTGTTATGCAGGTATAATGATATCATATAATATATCTCAAAAGTCATGTCTTATATACATATTTAACAGTTTTCAATAAAACCCAAAGCAAAAATATAACTTAATGTGTTAACTTGAAATGTATTTTTGGTAGGATTGGCGACAGTATAAACATTTGGAAAAGGAAAAGCAAAAGTCACAAGAGAGGGAAAAGTTGCAGATGATAAAGAAACTGAGTTTAACATGTCGCAGTGCTTTAGATGAAGAAAAAGAGAAACTAAGTGAAACAGATCCAGATTTGGCAAATTTACTTGCCGATGAGTTTCTATTGGAATATCAAAGACAAAGAATGAAGGAGATGCTTGCAACAGCAGAAAAACTCCGCTTTGGGAAAGTCATTGATTTGGAGAATACAAATCAGTTTCTGGAGGCAATTGATGAAGAAGATGAATCTGTGACTATTATTGTCCACATTTATGAGCACAAAATATCTGGTTGTGAGGCTATGAATGGATGCTTGATTTCTCTTGCAGAAGAATATCCTTACAAGAAGTTTTGCAAAATTTTAGGTATACTAAAGAAACTTGAAATATGTAACAGTAAGATACATGTCAAATCCTATGTTATGTTTAAATCATTGTTAATATATAACTTCACAAATTTCTTCTTTATTGTGTTTGCTTTTAGGGTCAACTGCAGGTCTTAGTAAACAATTTAAAACGTTTGCTGTTCCAGCATTGTTGGTTTACAAAAAAGGTCAGCTTATAGGAACTTTTTTGAATATGACAAATACTCTAGGAACAGACTTTTATTCATCAGATGTAGAGGCATTTCTCATTGAGCATGGAATACTCACTGATAAAACTTGCGTACCTCTTATTCTGAAGAATGAGAGCACAGACTCTGAATAGCAAGTAAAACAAACAAGTGATCTATTGACATGCTTTTAATCATTTCAGCAGAACAAGAAAATTGAATAGATTTTAAGATGTATATATATATATACACACACATAGAAAAGTATAAGCTATAATTACATTTTTAAATATTTTTCTTTATAAAAAATTTTTTCTTTAATTTATTTTAACATATCAAGGAGACGTTTCTTTTTTCTTATTGCATTACAGAGTTGCAAGTAGACTTTCAATACCTGATCATATTCTGTATTTTTTAAGTGATCATAAAGCTTTTTTAAATCTTCTTTTTGCTTAAGTTCATCCGTAACTGCTTTCAATTTGTTTTCGACTAATTGATCCAGCCTTTTAAAAGCATCAAGAGTGATCGGAGTTTCCTGGAACATTCTAACTGCGCAAGTAAGCCTTGTTATCTTTGCTTGCAACTCGGCAACATTTGCTTGCAGATGCAGATATACTGTTTTTTCTAATTGCATCTGGCTCATGTCTTCGTATTTTAATTTAGTCCATTGATTGATCAAGTCTGCGTACTTCGACAAATCGTTTTCGCATTGCAGAAGCAACTCTTCAATTTTATTCTTCCATTGCGCCAATGGTATGTCAGAATATTCCAGAAACTTGCTGCATATGTTGTATTCATTATTCTTCGATATCTCTTGAGTATTTCTTTCTAAAGCTTCATATCTGAACACAAGAATCAACATAACTTTATTACAAATAGTACATATTACTAGTATTATCAAAATATCTATCTTAAACTAATTAGAAAGATAAATTGTACTTGAAACTAGTAATAAGAATATTTTTGTTTAATAATAAAAACAAATGTTTTATCAAAAACTCACTTCAATATCATATTGTGTATCCTTTCACGAAGTAATGTCTCAACACAACACTTTATATCTAATTTCTCATCAGAACTCAAGTCAGACAATGGTAAGTCACTGATTCCCAAAAGTTTCATCTCATCTTGCGTGTGTTTTGTCAATAAAGGAAGATGCATGTATTTGTCAAGTTTATCAAGTAAAAGTAAATTTGCCAATTTATCTGCTGTGCTCTTGCACAGGATATTTTTAGGATTGAAAGATGCCTCTTTTATACATTGATAAACAATATTGACTTTTATGTGTTCACTTACATTTTTCTCACATAATACTAAAGAGTTTATTAGTTTTTCATTCAAATTTATGTTCTGATTCATAGCAAACTTGTTGCTATTTTTTGCAATACTAGAATAATTGTCAAACAACAAACTCTCTGTAGATTCCATTCTGCCAATAAATCTACTAGATTGAGAACATGTTGAGATACTAGAAATATCTAAAAGAAAAACCACAAATATACAAGAATGTATGTTTTGTATGTTTATTACACGATAACATTATATGCACACATAAGTGCCATACATATATAAACAAATATATATACTTACAATTATAAAACTTTTACTATATTTACATATTACACACAAAACTTTAAAAAAGTATTTTTATATTTACCTGATATTTGATGGAAATCATTGTAATTATTCATAATAATATGTTCGTAATTTAGAATTTAAAATCTTAGACGTTTTTTTGATATAGTTTGGTGGGAAAATGGAAGTGTGAAGCATCCGAAGTTGTCTGTTCATAAGGCTGGATCCTCATGCAGACACCGGCGGTTTGACACCAAACGTTGATTGGTTAAAAGCGGTAGGAGAGAATAAATTAAATTTGCCATTTACCCTCACCATCTGCTTTTCACCAATCAACGTTCGATGTCAAAGCGCCGGTGTCTGCATGAGGATCCAGCCTAAAGGCCTATCTACATAAAGAGCCGTCTACAATGAAGAGTTGTAGGCCGTAATAGTAAGAAATTGACCAATCACAGACTAAGTACAGAAGAATAATCGATTGTGATTTGTCAATTTCTTATTGTTACGGCCTACAACTCTCCATTGTAGACGGCTCTTAAGACGCAAACGAAAAACATTAGTCTCACGGAATTGACCAATCACGTTGATCCAATTAGTTAATCGACCAAAGGGTGCTTTCCAACTACGTACACAGGCGACACTGGATGTGTTTTGCCGAAGTTAGCGCTACGTAGCGCTACGTAGCGGCTTCATGTAGCAGTTGCAACTGCTGCGTTACTTCTGCTGGACAGTATTGCTACGCGCAGCATGTTCTAAGCATAGACGTATAATATATAGACTGCGCGTTTGGCTGAAAAGATGTCTTCAACGTTGAGAGAGACAACATACTTTGAATAGTAACTCTTTCTCTGTCTATTATTTCCCCCACTACTTTGCTAGACAAAGATGAGGCTACTATTCAACACCAGCTGTCTCTCTCTCAACGTTAAAGACATTTTCTTACCATGGCAAAGGTAGGGAACGCGCAATCTATATATTATATGTCTATGCCTTTGTCATGTTAAGAAGATGCGCTAACTTCGGCAAAACACACCCAATGACACTCGTGTGACACGAATGATGTTCTTGAATGTAGCCCAAAACGTATACTTCCCCTATTTCTTCACTCTTTACCTTACGCATGCGCAAAGACTTACTTGGTATAAATTTGTGGTTTTCCGGGTACAGGGAGGCAAACCTCCACCCGAGAAATAACTCACGTGTATAACTTTGAACGAATAACACTAGATATATTTATTTACATTAGATAAGACTTGTTCTACAATACAGTCGTAAGCTGTAAGTCGTAAGAAATTGACCAATAACAGACTAATTACAGAAGAATAATCGATTGTGATTGGTCAATTTCTTACGTATTGTAGAACAGGCCTAAGTACAAAAGTAGAATACCGCGTACAACAAGGGGCATGGAAAAGAAGACAAAAATGAGATACTGCGCCACAGCTGTAGCGTGTCCGTTTTTCTAGAGACAGTCAGGACGAACGCCGGAACGCGACGACTCGGATCTAGCGGACAGGGCGCGGGACATAGAGCTTATACTCATGGAGAGGCCATGCGAGCGCAAGGAGGATCGACAAAGAGAGATATATTTTTCTATTTCAATTGTGGCCACTTCTTATAGGAGAGAATAACAGAGAACACGGAGTGGGGGAGCCACAGTTGAGACAAAATATATCCAAACAGAGAGAAGCCTGAGAGCGGCCATGCCATTGTAGTTTCTTACGACGGTTTCAGCCGCTGGTTTTAGCCGTATTTCCACAAAAGTGGAACTCAAAGGCCGTTCTACATTAAACGCAAGTAAAAGATCTCGTGGAATTGACCAATTGCAGAGTCAAATCAGCCAATCGACCAACGTGATTGATCAGTTCCACGAGACCTGCGACTTGAGTTGCATGGAGAACGGCCTTTGAGTTTCACTTTTGTGGAAATACGGCTAAAACCAGCGGTTGAAACCGTCGTAAGAAACTACAATGGCATGGCCGCTCTCAGGTTTCTCTCTGATCCAAATATATCTCTCTTTGGCTGCGTTCGGGGAGCGCGCTATCATGTTGCATCATTCTATCTTTATTGCTCATTAGATGTAAAACAAAGATAGAATGACGCAATAGCGCTGATAGCGTACTCTCCGAACGCAGCCTTTGTCGATTCTCCCGGCGCGGCCCTCTCTATGGTTAGCATATAGGCAGGGCCTCTCCATGAGTATAAGCTCTATGGACAAAATATATCATGAATATATCTCTCTTTGTCGATCCTCCTTGCGCGGCACTCTCTATGATTAGCATATAAGCATGGCCTCTCCATGAGTATAAGCTCTATGGCGCGGGACAAGGTCCTGCTTTCTGCGGCTGCGCGCTCGCTCGACGCTTCCGTGACCCGTGAGATAGCGCTGCTCCCGGAGCGTCTGCGCGGCCGATCGGGAGTCCGCCACAAATTCATCTCGCGCTAGCGCAGTTTCGGTTGTAATCATACTTAGTGGTGAAAAAAGCGATGAAGGGGAAAATATACGTTTTGAGAGTGAATTTGTATACGTTTTGGGAGGCATATACGTTTTGGAAGTATACGTTTTGGGAGGTTCGACTGTATATTACTTTAATAATCACAGGTGTGTGTGTGTGTGTGTGTGATTATTGAGCAACTTCTTATTTATTCCGTAGTAATTGTGTCGGTAGTGAAGAAGTTCGCTCGTCAGTACACGTGGTCGCCACGGACGATCTTGTACGGAACATTCGGATAGTCGTTGTCGAGATAAGACTCATTAAAATATCGATTAATTACAAGCCATCCATTATTTAAACAATATCGTCGCTCATACAAATTTGAAACTATTCAATTTTTTAAACTGCAAAATATAAATTTCATAAGAGCCGTTCGCAGGATATGCGGAAATATGTGTGTATACAGGGTGTCTCAGAATTGGTGTGACATCTCTCGTAGGCAGATAGAAGGAGTAAAACTGAATCGAAAAGTCCTGAACCATTGTTTTCTATTATTTATAATAAAGGAGTAATTGTTGAGTAAATCAGGCCAATCAGCGCCGACCTTTAGCCAGGCGCATGTCAGTGAGCCACGCGCCTTGTGTGTGTGAGCGCTCCGCGCGGTTCACTGGGTGCATCCAGAAGCACAATGGGTGCGTTCAGACAACTCAACAGTTGCACAACGGTTGAGAGATAATCACTTCTGATTGGATCATACTTTTGGAACCACAGCAGATTTTGAAGAATAGTCCTATCATAAGTGATAATCTCTCAACCGTTGAGTTGTCTGAACGCACCCAATCGCTCACTGGTCTAGTTTCCACCGAAACCCTCAATTCGGTTTCATTCCGGTACGGATTAAATTTAGTGTTCCGTTTCCATTGGAAGTAGAGTACTTATAGATCGAAGCGGAAGCGAAATCAGCGCAATTTGACAGGTTTCCATCAACTTAAATCTGATTCTACGTCGCATTAGGTGTGAATTAATGCTTCGGTGGAAACTAGACCACTGAGCGCTCAGTAAATACCCTAGATCTGTCTACTGGATGCAAACGCTCTCTAAGCGGCTCACAGTGAGCGATCGCCATTTTTGTGAGCGCAGTTTCACATCGCTCACTCCGGTCACCTATATGGTCTTTCGCGCCAAAGAATATCTCTAAAGGTTAGTAACTAATATATTTCTTGTGCTTGTTAATTTTTATTTCAAAATTGGAAACTAAAATGATCTTTTATTGCAAATAATTAAACAATTAAATAGTTAGATATTGTTAATATGTATAAATTTTTTGAAATATATATAGTAATATCTTCTGTCTATATGTTGTCCAATCACATTTACAAGTTGCTATAAGTTATAATTAATAAATTTTTTAAGATATACAATCTATGACTTTTTGGTAACATAACAAATTATCATACATAATAAAATAAATAAATATAAAGTTTATAATTATTATAAATAAAAAAAAGATTATTTTTTGTATTGTAATATTTTGTTATACTTACCTTCATTGTAGTGCGTCTCATTCGGAAATGTACATGAAAATCGCACAAAGAATATTGTGGAACTGTTACTTCAAAATAATTTTCATTACGATAATGCACAGATTTATAATTTAATAAAATATTTTCTTCTTCTTTACATAAATTTTCACAATGAAGGATAATTTGCATAATATTATTATTTTCACTTTCATTTTCTAAAATTATCATACCAATACGTCTTTGCATTATTACAAATTATATATATTACTATTATTTAGTAACACAACTTTTTTAACTTTACTTTCTTCTTATATTTCTATAGCTGCATTCTGATATTTACTGTCAGTACTAAAAATCTATATTTCACGTCAAATGTGCTATAGATTTCTAGCACTGGGAGTGAATATCGAAACGCAGTTTATGTCATGTGATATAAGCAGGGCTGGGTAAAATGCTTTTCGAATTGCAGTTAAAATACTAAATGTAAAATACTTAAAAAAATGTATTTAAAATGCAAAATGTAAAATGGGTTTTCAAAATCCATTTTAAATATAAAATGGATAAATAGGTATTTTAAAATGTTTTTCAAATATAAAATGCTTTTTTAATATATGTAGGTTTTATTTGGATATATTTTATAAGTATACATGTTATTATATAAGTTTATTTTATAACCAAGCTGTTTAATTTAAGCAGCAATTGTTTTTCGAAAGTATCATCGTGCATGCTTCGACGATTCGGGCGCATAATCATGCCTCCGTATGAAAACATCCGTTCTACTGGCGCAGACGACGGGAGCGCAGTATTATATTTTATAAAAACTTCTCGAACAGCAGGAAATGCATTAAGCGAGTCTAAACATGTATCCTCATTTTGCAAATACTGCAAACATTGCAGTTCAATCGTATTTTTAACGGAGGTATTTTCAACACTTTCATCCGATGATCCTCCTTCAAAGGTAAAAAAGCTTTCACTGCTTTTGGCTTCGGATGTATTTATTGAATCATTTCGAGTTTTTGTCACATAGGTTAGTAAAGATTCAGCTTCGTTAACAAGCAATTCTTTGACATTATTTTTTTTTCTTTTGGTACCCACCGTAACTTAAAGAACGGATGGCTAACAGATGCTAAAATAGCATCGTGTACTTGATAGGAAAAATCAAAGTAATCACTGAATCTTTTGTTTAAGCCTTCTAATAATACGACTACTAATGTCGCACAGTATTTTAAATGCCTGAGTTGTA